GACCTATCGTGACTTCGATCCAATCAGACACCAACTTACATCTCTACCCACCTTTCGAATTTCCCCTCATTTTTGCCATTTTTCAAATGTATATAATTTATTTAGTTTATATTATCTATTTATTTCATACTTTTTTGTGTGCAAATACCAATCCAATCCACAAATAAAATCCATTTTGAAAAGCACTTACAAATTTTTGTACTATCGCGTTATAACTTATTTGAAAAAAGAATGAGTATTCTATTCAAATTTTTTTCGGAGTAGTCGACGTATGCTATTTGGAATTAATGGCCCTCTAGTATAATTTAATTACAAATGATTAACAAAATAGCGTTATAGCCGTGATGAGCCCCTTCCCTCTTTTGCCATTTACACTGTGATGAATGGTTTTCCTTCCTAGTTCGATTTGTTTTGTGCGGCCGGCCCAAGAATCCATCGATCAAATCACTTTTGTGCCCAGAACTCTGCAAGTGATGTTATTATTAATTTATTAACCGATCTGTTGTGCGTTCAGAGGATTCATTAGACTGTATGGAAACGCCTTAATCCACGTCGACGGTGATACTATTCATAACGCGTCCTGGAAAAAGTATCCGGGATTTGTTTTACCCAGGGGTGGATTTCCCACAAACCGAACATGATATTATAACTGCTCACAATTGGTTATCGGTAAAGAAAAGTTAGCAAGTGTTGCTTCCCAAAGCCGGGAGGGAAAAGAGAAAAGGAGATCGTTTAGAAAGTCGTCAATTCGTCCCATTCTAAGATGATTAATTCTTCATTTAACTGCAGGTAGATTTATATTTTTAACTTTTTTTACAAACCAATAATTCAACTTAAAACTGAATTTCTCAATAGAAGAACTTTGTCATAAATCATATATAGTGAAAAACTAAAAGCTTAAAGCATTTACTTGCCAACCACGCCACATCTCAACAGCCAAACAAATAAAATATAACAAAAAATAAAAAGTATAATATTTAATAAATTTGTCCTCTCAAACTCAATCACACCAAAGGAATAATATGAAACAGCAGAAAATAATTTAAAACAAAATTCTCACTTTTTCATTACTTCATTATACTAACAAAACAAAATTAAATCCAGCTAATGTTTACGACAAAAATGAACGTATCACATATTAATTTTTTTTCTCCTCGAACCTCATTTTCCAAAAAGAAAAAAAGAAGAAGAAAATTAACGACCATTATAAAGGCCGCTTATTAGGAACATCCATTAAATTTATGTAACAAGCGTTTGACTTATTCCATAATTTTTACGGTAACAACGTGACATTAATTATCGTTACAAAAGACTTATTATACTTAACGAAGTAGCCTTTTTTTCCAGCCGCTAAAACTTCAAACTTGCAATATGTGGATTTTATAATTAATAAAACGCCTTCTATTAAAAATAAGCTTGTTCTTTCGAAAAAAAAGCAGGAATTTACATCAAGAATGCCGCCTTTTTGTACATATTTTCCTAACAAAAGAAATTTAATGAGCAAACCTTCCAAATTTACGTTGTATTCCCTATGAAACCATCAAAGAAAAAAAAAAGAATACAGTTGTATTAAATTGGAAAACAACACGAAATTTGGGGGGCGTCGGTGGCCGCAGCTGTTTAGGCGTTGGCACTGTGTTCATCACTGTAAGGTGAAGGACCCAGGTTCGAATCCAGCGGCCCTGCATTCTAACGCTACATACTTACAAATGAGCTTTTTTTTTCAAAAACACCGGCACCCCGAGGGTTTATATAGCCGATGCTGTTGCGAATCCTCGTAAAAACAAAATAATAATAAAATTCACTAATTTCGTGGTCCGCTTGACAAATTAATATATTATAATTAATTTAGGTTTTTAGTCGAGATAAAAAAGTCAATGGCACGAGCGGGATTCGAACCCACGATCTTCGGCTTGATACGCCGCTGCTCTACCACTTGAGCTATCGTGNACACACACACACACACACACACACACACACACACACACACACACACACACACACACACACACACACACCCCTAAAACCGGTCGATAGAAATCAATCAGTACTCCGTATTATTAATTATCGTCAGGTGGGTATTATCAGACTTCCCGTGACAAATTAATCTGGTTAATAGATTAAAGCTTCCAACTCGGAAACTCCATCTTTTCTTTCTTTTTCCTTTTTCTATCCTTCTCGAGGTGGACAGGGTTGGTCGTTTCTCATTACTTTCCGCCTTTGTCGCAGAGATATTTGAACCAAAAGGCAGGAAGGACTATTGGATTATCTAGTCTTTAGAGGTTATACGAGAAACCGAACTGAGGAACAGAAAATACTACATTGAAAAAATATATCAATCGTTAACAATTGCCATTTTATGAAAATTTTCTTAATAGAAACGGTTACAAACTATGTAAGCTTAATTACTTACATGTTTAAAAACCATTTTCGGGCAAATATGTATATTTTTTAAAAATAAAATGAAGGATTTCATTGTTAATAAAAAATGAAGGATACTTCTCAAGATATATAGATCAAGATATAATAGTATATCCGATATAGGTAATAACGACTCTAGCGAACCCATTCATTTTATTTCCGAAACAAGAGGAATCAAATAAATCGGCGATACGAGATAATAAAAGTATTATGCTACAGGGTGACATATGAAAAAAAAACCCACTTTATTCTTTCCCATCACGCAAAATTCTCCATACTACACCCGTAGTCGTAAAAAGGTCCGAAGCATAAAACCACCTCGCCAAGGTTGACAAATGTTTACACAGGACCCACGGGGAGAATCGTAGTTAGCATATTTTGGGTAAAAGACATTTTTAAATCGCTCTCTGGAAGGGACCCCCCCCCCTAATGAGTGAACATTAATAAAAATTTCGTCGGGGAAGCTAATGCCCGGCCAATTTATGACGGGCGAGTTGACCTGCCACAAATCATGGCATACATTTGCTCTTCTTCTAATCTTCTCCGGCTTTACGACCCACTAATGGAGAGGGTGTTTCAACGGATCGTTTATGCAATCGCAACAGATACCAAGATTTAAAAAAAAAATTAAATTTATTTAAATCAACCTGATAAAGTGAGGTTGTGATAATAAAAACAAAATAATGGCGTAGAACTGAACTGGAAATGAATTTTCCTAAACCCGTCTGTAATAACTCTCAATTACTTAAAAAAATGCAAAAAGGCAAGAAAAGTCGCACAATAAAAACAAATCTCAATCGATAAAACAAGAGATCGTCTGAATCAGACGACAAACACATCAGGCAAATTGGAAATGGCGTCTAGTCTCGGGAAGAACGGCGAAAAAAGGCACGCGTCAAATAATATAAATTAAACAACAATACACCCCTAATTGTCAAAATACAATTACGAAAACCTTTTGCTATAGCATTTTAGGCAAAGTAATATCACTCGATTAAGAAAACCTACCATAAATCAATAATTTAATTAAGTTAAAATATTTATTTTAATTTTTTTTTAATAGAAATTGTTGAACAGTAATGTTTAATAAATTCATTGATTTCGTAACCATCCAAGGATTTTCAGTGTAGGAACATATAAACGAACTGTCGATTCTAGTAGAAAAATAGAAAAAAAAATTTATCAACCGTATAACAATTGTCCAAAACTGGAAATAAGCCTACGAATTTGAAACACTAAAACATCCAGGAGACACAAGGAGAATGATTGTTAAAAAATAAGCTACTATTTATGTGCAATTTAGTTAGCTAAATTTGTTTACAATGTTTAAAATAGTGGAAAGGGACAAATTAATGCTTTTTAAGTAAAAATTTACACTTTTTAACTTCAAATTAACCATATATCACTTATAATTAACCCTCATTCGCTTTTAATTAACGCATGTTAAATTTAAATGAAAGTTTCTTAAGATATTAAAAAGCTTCAGGTATGAAATATAAGCATATAAAACAAATTCCTGTGCATTTTATCTTTTTTTGTTAAATACAAAATAACTACAAAATAAATAATAATTTGACTTTCATTTAAATGTAAAATAATTTAGTTTTTAAAAACCTACGAAAATTAATTTAAAAAAATTTCATTACAATTAAAAATTATATAAAATAAAATATAAAAATAAACACTATTTTTAAACATTTAAAGGGTAAATGGTTTTAATATTTAAAATTTAATGTCTTTTATTTACACAATAACAATAACACAACTTTTTTTTTAAATTTTATATGTAATTAAGTTTTATGCGTTTTCAAAAGACCTAATTATTTTAGCTTTAATTTAATTAGATTTCGAATCAATTATCATTGTATATGCATATATTTCATACCAGCTTCTAGGTTTTTTGATGAAAAAAAAAACACTAATTTGAAATTTGCATAAGTGCTAATTCTAAACTAAAAATGGTTAACGTGATATTGTAAAATGGTTAATTTTGAAATAGATAAGAGATTATTTGAAATTACAAAGGATTAATTTTACGTAAAACTGATATTTTAGGAATAATTAAAAAACTTTTTATTGATGTTGACGTGCACGGTATGTAAAGAATTAAAATTAAAAATAAAATGTTTTTCTAAAATTAAATTTTGAGTCGAGGAATTAATTATACAAATACCTATTCAATAGTGAAGACAACTATTGAACATCTCTTCCGAAAATTGTTTCGAAAAAAAATCAACCATGAAGGGTTGAAAATCTCCAACATCCAGTGAGCACAATACACGAGAGGAATCTGTATTCCCATCACCCAGCCATCCCATTCTTAGTAACTCACGTTCGTCAATCTCTTAAAAATGTGAGCGGCGTAACTCCTATATACTACAATGGAGTACGATAGAATCGATAGGTCTGTACTGATTGAAAAAACCCAGGACGACGTATATAATTCAAAAAGGCACAATGGCGTGGGGTCGGCGCAGGGATGAGACAGGAGAATAAAAGGGCCGGTTATAATTTTCCAGTTTTGACTAGAAAGCCCAGCTCATCTCAGGCTCAATTGGCTTGCTTTCTTATTCTCACAGGGTTGGGAACGAGCAGGGTTTCACGAACGGTCCGGAAGGGGTCGTCGACAGGTCCACGCAGACTCCGGAGAGCATAGCCAGAGAGACAAGAAACTGCAGGCTTAAAACGCTAAAACTTCAACTCAACGTCACTCCGCCGACTTTGAATTTAAGGTAATCAGTCAATCATAAACTTAAAATTGTCTTATGAAACAATCCACTGTTTTACAGGTTTTTAGCGAGTAGGTCCAAACGGCAGACGATGGCGGCCAACGTCGTGGCGACTGAACAGAAGGCTTCCAAAGTTCTCGGTGTAGTGTTCTTCACCTTCGTACTCTGCTGGGCGCCCTTCTTCATCCTCAACATTCTTTTCGCCATCTGCCCTTCGTGCAACGTGCCGACCCACGTAGTCGACATCTGCCTTTGGCTGGGTTACGTCTCGTCGACAATAAACCCAATTATTTATACGATATTCAACAGAACATTCAGAGCCGCGTTTATAAGGTAATTTAACGATCACAGATGTACACATGAATTGTTGAGCCATAAGAACTATGACAATAGTGATTACAATCGCAAAACTAAGTTTAGAGAAGTAAATTCTGCCCAGTATAGGATTTAATATTCCGACCAGTTCTAGACAAGGTAAATCCTCGAAAGACCAAAACTGTTTTATAGTGTATTGGCAAAGCCTTACGTATTTTACGATGAAGGAGATTGAAATCTAAATTCGCATTCAATTTTTAACAAATGGCTCTTCAAATACGATTCAATCCTGCAAAGATATACCAGAACAATGAAACACAAAACAGGGTTTACTAACAAAAAACCAATCTACAAATAATTGGACATTTTACAACAGCACTATTCAAACTAGGAAGTTATATTTTTTTCCTAACAATTTATTTCCCACTTTTGTGTGAGTTTGTGCAAACTTCACAATAACCAAGGAAAAATTCTTTTGGGCGGGTTGAAAGTAATTTTTCCTTTGTGAAAATAAAACAGCGCAGTCGGAGCCAATTTCCCGTTTAAACCGAGAACCGTTATTGCCGACGGTCGTACGAGATTATACGTCAAAAAATATTAGGTTTTTATAAGTTATAAAATTATCGATTTCAACCGCTATTGGAAAAAATATCTGTTCTAAATGAAAACCCAATTTCGAATATTTGTTCGTATGAAAACAACCTAGATATTTCTGAGACTTGGAAGTTTAAAAACAACTAAGGGCTTTTAAATAGAGAATTCTATGCAGATTTGGCGTCTGGAAGGGATAGCTCAATCTCCCACATAATTGAGAGGGCCCGATAAAACTTACTTTCTAAAAATGACGAACTTTCAAATTAAAAAAGAAAAACTGACCACCACATGTTCTTACATTCAACGATATGATTGTTTAAATCAGCTGTACAGCCACATAGCAAGTGAGTACTGACTTCTACTGATTTGAATCAGATGGAAATTGATATAATTGAAGATTTGAACATTAAAATAAATTAATAAATTTAGACCCAATGGGTACAGACAATTTCATTGACCTGAGAACATGAGGGTTCTCCCTTAATTAACTTTCTTGTAATACTCGTAAACTTAACTAACTTGGCAAAATTATAGAATTGTTGCGCGCGTCTATCGTTAAAATTCTTATCTTAATCTAGACGTTTTTAGTTGGTCCTAGTTAACCAAAATAATTATTTAAATTGATTTATATAAATAATAGCTGGGATGAAAAATTAGTACGGACGTCACGACAGTGGTTAGGCCAGCAGGGTATTGAGCCCAAGGTCGTGGGTTCGAGTCCCTCTCGTGACACTAATTTTTCATCTCAACCACTCTGTTCATTAAAGTTAAAATTATGTTGTCAGGATAAATTCGAGAGGCCTAAGCCTGCTTATTTGTTCGTAGGAAAATTATGTAAACATCTAGCCAACCGATGCTCAAAATTTAATAAAAATTAGCACTATCCTTAAAGATGTAAATAGTGATGTACTACCTAGCTTTGCCAAAACTGGATTTCGCTTCCTTTGCCAGAAGTTTTAAAACTTTTAAAACAATTATACTGGTGAAAAAATTTGCAAAATTATTTAATTATTGTACCTTCATCTAACGTCAAAATTGTGATATCAAAACCAATCGGATGGCATCTTGAACTTCTACTGTTAGATTATCAAATTTCCTTAATTTTCCTTTAATATACCAGGAATTGAACAAAAATTTGGTGAAATTTGACAAATTATTGATCGATTACAATTTATTTGTACTACTGAATTTCACATATCGAAAATGTTAAATGTTGTACTACCAAGGCAGGCGACTAACTTTTCTCAGCATATTTCCTTTAATGAACTGATTGGACACACTAGGCATACCTATTGAGCAATACAAACCAAATCAAATATGGAACTTTTAAAATGTCTGGACAGGACATATCAAAATGGGATTGTATGACTTGGAGAGAACATCAAAAATCAATGTAGCGAACTAACGATCAATCAATTTTATAAAATATATATATACCAAATAAACATTAGTGTTCTGATATATGTAAAAAGTAATGTATTTCCTGCCATACTACGTACTTTACATTACTAGTTTCAAATTATTACCAATATTCTCAACTATTACCGTCAGACTATATTTGCCATACTAGCGGTTCGCACACCGACATAGTTTTTTGACTCTTCGTACACGAAACCCAACGAGTAGGTGTTATGTGCCCCTTTAATCCTCTGTATGATTTTTACTTAATTTAGTCAATGGTTAAAAGATAAGAAAGTCAGCTTCTGTACAACTTGCGCAACCAACGGTTAGGGTTATTCAGACCGTGTCAGATGTAAATCATCATCATCACAATTGAAATTTGTTCTTGATGAGCACAGTAATAATGTATCCCGGAGGAATTTGTCCCACATGATATTCAATGGAAGAAATTACTTAGCTCACGTTCTGTCTACTTATTCAATAAGGCTTCAAAAATTGAATGTACTATGAAAAATATGCATCATTTCTTGTCAGGTCTGATTATTATCATTAAAACATGAAAATTCTTAAAATAATTTCATATCTATTTTTTCGCAGGCTTCTGATGTGCAAGTGTGGCAGGTGGACCAGGCCAGCCAGGTACAGGTCTGTGAACGAAGCCCGAGGAGGAGGATCCGCCTTTCCTCTGGCCCTGTCGATCCAGGGTACACCGGTCTTGACGCCAGCATCCGCCAGTTCGTACCTGAGGACGCCATCAGCGTTCCCTGATTCCTTCACCGTCGGAGAAGGTCCATGACAGGACACGCAATTCAATTAAAAGACTAAAAAAAAATTCTGTGTCTCAGTGGCCCGGGCTTAGTGAGCGTCGCCCTTTTCAAAACAAATCCGTGTGCCGTCTTCATTCTAGTCATAGCGAGTGAATTATTAGAGCTGTAGCGATCTCTTTATAAAGACAATCTTCATAATGTAATTAAACGAAATAAAGTATTTAATATAAATTTAGCTCCCTATCCGTGATCCCCGATCCCTTCCAAGAACATGCGTTTAACTTTCAACTCGGGGAAGTTTCCGAGACTAACAATAAGTTAGGAACATTGACTAAGTTGGCACCTTTGCCCAGACCTCATATTACTTGCAACGATTCTATTTCTGATTTAAAATTGTTTATTTCATAGATCAGACTTAAAGTCTATCTATTATAACGAAATGGTTCAGCTTCATTTTCTGTTCAAAGTATATTAAAAAATATTAAAATTAACAAAACCAACCCTCCAAAGCACCGAGGGTGGAATGGTAAACTCATTATTATTTATTAATTAGTAATTAAACTACTAAGAAAAAACTGGACAGGGGCGTCATTGCCTTGACCATTTAGAATGGGAAAATTTGGCTACCTGTGAATACACTTGCATTTGGAACGCAATGAAAAAAATTGAATTAAAAAAAATATTGAATTGAAATGAAAAAAAATTAAAATGGTGTTTTATGTACGATGATTGATTTGCAAAGGTGTATTTAAAAAATAAGTTACATTGGTGTTTCTTTGTTCCATTTATTAAAAATTATCATCTCTTTATATTTTATGAATTAATCCATTCAATGCAAATTCCATTGCTGGTTCTTTTAAATAAATTATATTCTATGATTTATACTTTCTAACCTATCATAAAAAACATTTAGGTGGCCAACCCGGTTTCATTTGGTCAAATCAATTTTTTTGACTTACATCTCCTGCTAAATATATAACGTATTCATACAATTTTAAAGCTTTTGGTCCATAATATTAACAATTTCAAAAAGAATTTGAGAAATCACCAATTGATATGGTCTAAAGAGCATTCCTCCAAAAACTGTACTTGAAATTTTCAAAAATGTATTTACAGAACTTTCAGTGGTCGTATTATTAATATGTTTATACCGAAGTGTAAAGGAATGAGAGAGGTTTAATAATATTTAATAATTAATTACGTAAGGGTGAATGGCGATAAGTGTCGAAAAATTCAGGTGTTTCTACTTATTATACGCAACAAAAAACTTCTCATTGGACCCCTGTCCGAATCTAAACGGTAGAGAAGTTATTTCAGGTTTTGGGGTTTTTTTCGACTTAGGTTCACTAAATTGTTTATAAACTTCAAAATTACTGTCTGTACAAAATCTGGTTTCTGCCACCTAAAAGAACGTTAAATTCACTGGAAGAAAACTTATTTACATTGCAGAATTGATGGAAAAGTACTGCACAAAAAAATTCAGAAAAAAATGTTGAAATTACCAATTTTTGGAAAATGTTGGATTGGTAACTTTTAATAATACAGCTTGGTGTTTCATAATGGAGAGTTTGAGATACCCCCTGTCGGAAAGGATTTTACCCTTACCATTTTACGAAGGTGCAAAGTTTGGAACGACATGACCAACAGCAGCGATTTGATTTTTACTACTTCTTTGCTGGTGGTCACGTCGTTCCAGAAACGCAATCCGAAAAGGTGGGTATACCGCTGGAAGCTAATTGGAATGGGAAACTTTTGAAGGAATTTGCACAGCTCCATGGTTTGTAGTTATTAACAGTTACCAATCCAAAATTTTCAAAAAATTCCACATTTCAATATTTTTTCTGGATTTTTCGTGCAGTACTTTTCCATCGATTCTACAATGTAAATAAATTTTTAAATTTCTTACAGCAAATTTGACGTTCTTTCAGATAGCAGAACCCCGAATTTTTTCCAGACAGTAATTTTGAAGTTTATAAACAATTTAGTGGACCTAAGTCGAAAAAAACCAAAATCTGAAATTACTTCTTTACCGTTGAGATTTGGACAGGGGTTTATAGGATGTTTTTTTATTGCATATGGTCAGTAGAAAAAGTCCTTAAATTTTTTACCCCTATCGCCAGTCACCCTGTATAAACATATATATTTATTTTGTATTCATTATTTTTCGTGGTCCGCTTGACCAATTAATATCGTTCAATTAATTAAGGCTTTAAGTTGAGATAAAAAAGGCAGTGTGACGAGCGGGATTCGAACCCACGACCTACGGATTGATAAGCCGCTAGATATACTCTACCTCTTGGGGTATCGTGACTTCGATCCACTCGGGCACTAACGTTAGAATGAACGTGCATAGCAAGCCGAAGGTCGTGGGTCCGCTCATGACAGTGACTTTTTTATCTCAACTTAAAGACTTTATTTTGTATACTTTTTATATGGTAAACTCATAATGACCGTAAGTTTAAAATATAAGTACTATGCTGTTCTGTCTTGAACTCTTTAGGGAGAGATTTGACTTACTTTTTATTTACCAAGCTTCTGTTTATTTCAAGAACAATTATTTTCTCATTTTGTAAAGAGTATGGATTTTAGTTAGTAATTTTATAAAAATATGTGTACGTTATGAAAAACTAGTGAAAACAAACTGACCCTTTATTAATTACCGACCGTCAAACCAGATTATATTTGTCACATTTGTCCGGGTACACAATATCATCGTTAGATATCAAAGATAGATCAAGTTAATAGTACTGAAGAATGCAAGACGTAGACTTCTCCCATAATGGAAATAATCAATGTTAATAGGTATATCTAAATGTTATGAAAAGCTAGTGAAAACAAACGGACCCATTATAAATCAAGAGCACCAGACATTTCATTTAAAGATGTTTATCTCTGTTCTGTTAAGTAACGTCTTTAGTCAAGAAAACTTTAATCATAATTTATTTTTAGGGAAGTAATTTCGAAAAAACGTTTATACTGTCGCCCGTCCTCACTAGGCCGGAAAATCGATTATTATTATTACGTTATCATGCAATCGGGATAACAAAAGGTTCTCCGGATTTAACGCAATTCCGTCTACGAGGGCCGACTTAATTAACAAGGATATGGAAAGACAATTAACTTCGAGAGGGCAGAATTTTAACAGATTCGCAAGCAGGGTCGGGTTTAGCGATCGGGCCCAGCTTGGGGACTTCATCGAGCGCAACACCGCTTCCGACTTCTCTTAATAAACTCGCGCACTTCTTCGGCTAGTGTTAATTACTCGAGTTTAAAGTTGGTGACATGTGTTGGCGAGGGCGCAGTTTACTGTCGGATTAATCCAACCTTATCCAATAACATTACACGAGGGGCCGACTTCCTCAAAGTTCAAACAGCCATAAAACAACGACGAGACGGTACAAATTCGGGTTAACTATGAAGTAATTTATCGTAATGGCACAATTTCGATTGTAACGTCTATGAAACCGAATGTAAAAAAAACATTATTATTGAGGAATAATTTACAGCAGCAAAAACGTAAATTTATCTTTATCCCGCTCTGATAAAATCCCCATAACTAAGAATTGGTGTTTCGAACGAAAAACAATAACAATTAATATGTGAATAAATACATTAATGCTTATATAGTTTATATCCTTCGTTATTAATTTTTCAGAGATAAATCTCTAGACAGAAAGTCTAGTAAGTACTCACTATAACATTCCAAATTTATTATCATTTTATCTGTACTTAAATCATTTATTAACCATAATTTCAGAAGAATAATACTGATTAACGGATTGACGACATGATTCAAACAATATTTATACGCATTTACGACGATAAAATTACTTTAAAATAAATCAATAAACTCTCATTCAAGTTCAATATTTAATGCATTCGTTGAAAGAGCAGATTGATAAAACATGAGTTGGGTCGGATTCGTATTTACTTTTAAAAATCTGTTCAAATATAGCGGGTGCTACAGAAAGGCTGCTGTTTTCAAGCAATTGAACCCATTTTGGTGTAGTGAACCCTGTAATTCAATCTCTTTCCTGTGTACAAATGGATTTTTAAGTTATGGACAATTTCACACAACCAGCTTCAACTTTTTTCCCTTGAATGTTTATGTAATAAAAAGAAGGTTTAGTGGCGGATAAAGAATTTCGGTTCAAATTAGTTCCTTATCGATAGACAAATGTGAGTTTCGGGTTATAATGAGGGAGAACGCAGTCAGAGTCATTAGGAAAGTACACTTCGGTCTTTCAAGCAGAAATACATGCCTTCAATGCTTGTGCCCTGGAAAATCTTAAAAGAGGTTACACTGGCAAAAAACCTCGTACGATCTGATAGCTAAGCAGCCATTTAAAGCATTAGCATGAAAAGAATTACACCAAAATCAGTCAGTGAATGCATCCCAAATCTACAAACCTGGGGAAACACAACAACCTGAAGATATCTTGGGTGCCAGGACACAAAGGAATTTTGGGTAACGACAAAGCAGACAGTCTGGCCAGAGGAGGATCTGCAAGACCATACATAGGCCCAGAACCTATACTTGGGATAACAAAAACAAATATCATGTTGAACCGGCACACGGGCACTACTGGGTCTATCTTCATTCGCGGGTATTTTGTTTGAGTTATTCAAACGCGTTTCGGCATTACGCCATCTTCAGTGAAAAACTGTCTGTCATTTAGTCTGAGTGGGGTTTATAAAGTATTGCGTCCGTCGCTTGTCGCTGGGGGCGTTGCGTTAGGGGGCGTGGTCTCCGTGCTCGTTGGTCGGTCTTGGTGGCGGTTATTTCCATTGACAGTTATTATTTGTGCGTTGTTGGTTTTTTGTTTTTTCCTGGTGTTGGTTGCGATGTTTTGTTCTTCTGAACGTTTTCGAATTTTGTTATGGAGTGTTTTTAGTGGTGTGAAGGTGGTGTGTGATTGTGAGTTTGTTTGTGCGTTTATAAGTTTTCCGTCTTTAAGTGTTATTTGTTTGTATATCTCGAGGTTCTCCAGTATGTCAGTTTGCGTCCTTTCTGTGCGTTGTGTATTAATGTCATGCTTGTTTCTATTGTGTTTGGTTCGTGGTTGTAGTGTATTAAGTGTGTGGCGTAATTTGATTTTCCGTCATTGTCTCTGAAGGATCTAAAATATCTAAACCCCACTCAGACTAAATGACAGACAGTTTTTCACTGAAGATGGCGTAATGCCGAAACGCGTTTGAATAACTCAAACAAAAAACC